CTCTCTTTTCTTTCCTTTCCTTTCCTTTCCTTTCCTTTCCTTTCCTTTCCTTTCCTTTCCTTTCCTTTCCTTTCCTTTCCTTTCCTTTCCTTTCCTTTCCTTTCCTTTCCTTTCCTTTCCTTTCCTTTCCTTTCCTTTCCTTTCCTTTCCTTTCCTTTCCTTTCCTTTCCTTTCCTTTCCTTTCCTTTCCTTTCCTTTCCTTTCCTTTCCTTTCCTTTCCTTTCCTTTCCTTTCCTTTCCTTTCCTTTCCTTTCCTTTCCTTTCCTTTCCTTTCCTTTCCTTTCCTTTCCTTTCCATTCCTTTCCTTTCCTTTCCTTTCCTCTTCTCTTCTCTTCTCTTCTCTTCTCTTCTCTTCTCTTCTCTTCTCTTCTCTTCTCTTCTCTTCTCTTCTCTTCTCTTCTCTTCTCTTCTCTTCTCTTCTCTTCTCTTCTCTTCTCTTCTCTTCTCTTCTCTTCTCTTCTCTTCTCTTCTCTTCTCTTCTCTTCTCTTCTCTTCTCTTCTCTTCTCTTCTCTTCTCTTCTCTTCTCTTCTCTTCTCTTCTCTTCTCTTCTCTTCTCTTCTCTTCTCTTCTCTTCTCTTCTCTTCTCTTCTCTTCTCTTCTCTTCTCTTCTCTTCTCTTCTCTTCTCTTCTCTTCTCTTCTCTTCTCTTCTCTTCTCTTCTCTTCTCTTCTCTTCTCTTCTCTTCTCTTCTCTTCTCTTCTCTTCTCTTCTCTTCTCTTCTCTTCTCTTCTCTTCTCTTCTCTTCTCTTCTCTTCTCTTCTCTTCTCTTCTCTTCTCTTCTCTTCTCTTCTCTTCTCTTCTCTTCTCTTCTCTTCTCTTCTCTTCTCTTCTCTTCTCTTCTCTTCTCTTCTCTTCTCTTCTCTTCTCTTCTCTTCTCTTCTCTTCTCTTCTCTTCTCTTCTCTTCTCTTCTCTTCTCTTCTCTTCTCTTCTCTTCTCTTCTCTTCTCTTCTCTTCTCTTCTCTTCTCTTCTCTTCTCTTCTCTTCTCTTCTCTTCTCTTCTCTTCTCTTCTCTTCTCTTCTCTTCTCTTCTCTTCTCTTCTCTTCTCTTCTCTTCTCTTCTCTTCTCTTTTCCCTTCCCTTCCCTTCCCTTCCCTTCCCTTCCCTTCCCTTCCCTTTCCCTTTCCCTTTCCCTTTCCCTTTCCCTTTCCCTTTCCCTTTCCCTTTCCCTTTCCCTTCCCTTTCCCCTCCGTTTCCTTTCCCTTCCCTTTGTGACTTTGTAAAGAAGACTGAATGCAATCCTTGAGGCATCATGTGCAGCCTTCCAAAAAGAAAAGCTGAAAAACAAATTGGACAAGCATTCAGAACTGCAAGTAAAACAATTCAGTTACACAATGGTGGAATGGTATGTCACAAGGCTGAGGAATGAAATACCTGCTTCTGAGTGTCTTAGTCAAATCAGAGATTGCAATAAAGTTCATAAGGGGTTTAATAACCCAGTCATGGGTTTTTGTGTGTTATCTATGGATTTTGGTGATATAATCAATGTGGCAGTGGATCTGTACCTCCTGGAACACAGACTCTGCCGTGACAGGCAAAGCTGCATGCCTGATTTGTAAATATTATAGTATAAAAATAATGCAGTTGCCATGTCTGACCGCCACCGCTTCCTCTGCAAATAAGCAACTTTTCTTGAGCTGCTGGGGCACAGCACTCAAGCAGACCAGAATATAATACAAAGATGATTGGGTTGCTACATCTCTGGACAACTGTAGGTACAAGCAGATTCACTGTATTGGTTAGGTAGCCAATACCTTACTGGAAGGTCATGGGGGATTAGCTTTTAAAACAACAATTTTTAAAATTCTTCTGAGTGTTGCAAATTCTGCAAGAGAAAGCATCACATCATCACAGGAAAATCAGTCTTGGCTTTTACATGGCTTTCACACCTTTGCAGATCCTATAAAGAACAGCTACTTCACACTGTAAATGTATGTCATTGAAGTTTTTAGCTCACTGCCTTTTCATTGTTGTATCATTTTAGAAAGTCAAAAGAATTATAGTTTCATATTACTATGTAAAACTGAACATGTATGTGTGATGGCAAACACATATTTAGGGATCTGAGATTTGAACAGATCTCTCTGAAGAGACTGATATAATACATCTCATTGAGAAAGGAAAAGATTTATAATTCATGTATGTTTATTAATTATTACATTTAACTGCTTAATGCCAGCTTTATGAAACAAATTGCATTTATACCATCCTGATAGCTACTTAATTGTGCATGAATAATGAAGGCATAAAATCTTCAAGCAAAGCTGTGACTTCAGAATTGAATTATGAGTTGAAGTCTTTTTTCAGTATCAGAGTCTTAGTTTTGAGTAATGGTGAATATTCTGCTCAAATGGTCTTAGAGAACATCAGGGGTCTCACTGTGGAAAGTTCTGAGACTATTTTTCAAAAGATGACTGACATCGCCTGCAAAAAAAGGCAAAATTTACCTTTTTTTCCTTGCAAATTTCATTTGCGTAGTGCTCCACAATGCAATGGTACAGATTGGAAATGGAGCTACAAGAAGCAGTAGTTCTAGGAAACGTAAGGAATTCTCTATGTATATATGTATGAGTCTGTGCACATTTTTAGCTAAAGGTTTACAGTATAAGAATGCCAAATAGTACCTTCAGACAAACTGGTTGGAAGGAATAGGTTTAGGAGCACGTTGAAGGCTCGCAAGTGCGCGTCCGCAGTGCCATCTGGTGTCGGTGATAGCGCCCGTGCCTCCTCCGTGACGCAGCGCCTGTAACGGGTCGCACCCTAACTGGAGTGTGCTTCCCTTTGGTTCTTTCAGTTGGTATGAGCCTACCAATAGGTCTTATGAACAAAGAAACATCACTGGAACAGTGTTTTGCTTTCAATCGTTTCAGGAACTCTCTTTGTAAAACAAGAATGTTGTAATGACTGTGTGTGAACACAACATAAGAAATGCAAGTGTTTTCCTCTGAGCAGTGGCCATACTGGGCTCTTCTCTTTCTGTACAGCAGCATTAGTAATGACAGTCTTGTGTTCCTCCAGCCTCACCTGGGTGGAAGTGTCGATCTGAATCTTCAATAGTCAGGCTAGTTCACACCACTCTCTGAGAGGTGTCAGTATTTAATCCATCCGGTGATCCTCTGATAAGTTTTTAAAAGAGTGTATTGCTTTGAAAACCAGTAGTTATGCTGGGAGAAAAAAAGAAAAAGAAAAAAAAAGAAACAAATTTAAACCCAAACTGTATGTGTAACATGGACTTTTCTAAAACAGGGGCAATCTTTCATTTCCACAACAGCCTGCTGGAATCCACAGACACCCAGCAACCGCTGTGCTGTCACGGGGTGGGGGGGGACGGGGGCAAGAGTTTAGAGATTCATGGCCCTGACAGCTCTTTCCTGATGTTTATTTTCATTAGATATTAAGGAAAAGGAAATTGTTGCCATAACTAAAAAATAGCTACATTGGGCTTTTTCAGCTTCAGGATAATCAATCCGCTGAAATTCAGATCACCCTCAAATAAATAGGGACAGAAATATGTATTGTTATTAATTCTTTTTTTTTTCCTTAGTGCAACATGTAAGTTGTTCTTATTCTCAACATAGTGATTTTAAAATCATTCTGTGTACAACCAGTGTCCATTTACTGCAGTTCATCTTGAATCTAGATGGACAAAACCTTGCAGTTAAATGTTTGCATTACTAATACTTGATGCATTTACCTCCCTGTTCTCTAGCATCTAATGGACTCATATTTTATACTGTTAGATATATTTAATCAGTTTAGCAAAGCAAATGTAGATTGAATTTTGCACTTGGAAGATTTTTTGTTATTAGTCCAGAAAATTTCCTATATGACATGACAAATGTTTTATGGAACTCTTAATTGGGCCTACTTTATGTCAGTTTAGACGTTCAGCTCTTTCAGAAATCAAGGTATATAAATGTAGAGTTTAACCACTCCACATGCAGCGCTCTTTACTACTTCACATAGGCTAGTTTTAAACTCTCCATTTGTACATGACTTCAATATATTAAATTTGATAGACAGACAATGTTATGGACAATAGCCAAAATACATTTGCACTTAAACAAGTGAGAACATAAATCATGAGTTTATAATCTACTTTTTATTTAAGAATCCCTCAGAGTTTGGGCAGTCTGATTTGGAGTCTGTTTCTTTAGTTTGTAGCCAGATCTTGTGCAAACACTTGTAGTCCTACACAGGCTAATGCTTATAAATAGTAATATGACTAAACTGAATATGTAACATTGTGATATGACTAGACAGTCCTCTTTCTTGATCTTGAATTGAACTATTGAGTGGCTTTCTGATCCTCTGTAACACCTTTCTTTGTCTGATTCATCTAATTGGGGCAGTAAGGACTTTCCAATACTCTCCTTAGATGTGTCTGGTCTAAGGTAGACATCCACCTTTCTTCTTCTGGAGAAAATGACACCTCCAGTGAGAGTCTTTCCATCCTAATACAGAGATCTAAGGCTAAGGGATGCTGCACAGTCTTGCTACTGCTTTCTCACTGCAGGGAAGGTACCTCATTTGTGCCTGGCAGTTCTGGTACCCAGACTTCTCTTATTGGCAATGATACTGAATCATGCAATAGCTTCTTCTTTGCCTGTTGGCCTGAGCTGTCTTTGGAAGGAGACATGGGTACACAGGGAAAAAGCGCACAACGTCGTCTTCTCTTGACATCAAGTTGGGATCTGACAGTTATACACGGGAAACTGAACTGCTAATGCACTCCTGCCACAGTGATATCATAATTCCAGCCTAAAATGGGTAGGATAAAGTATGTTTTTTTCTTTATTGACAAAAAAAAACCAAGAAAGCTTAAATTATAGTTAAGATTGTATGTTAAACTTGAAGATGACCATGATTAAATTAAATTAATTCCACCTTAAAAGGTATAGTCTATGCGTGTTTGAAGGGATTTGATACATCTGAAGGTAAGTTGTTTTGCTGTCATGTTTATCAGATGAGCAGTTCTTGTAACACTGGTTTTCTTTCATAGGTGACACTACTATATGCCTTTCTTCACATGAGACAAAACTTGAAATATTTTGATAAAATGAGATGCTTGCGGAAACGATCAGCAGTGTCATTCTTAGGAGTCCTTGTCGTTTGCTTGCTGTTCATGAACTTGTACATTGAAGATGGTTATGTTTTGGTAAGTTTCTTAGATGAAAGAAATTATCCTGAAAAGACAGAACAGGACACATCCCTAGTTAAGCAATAAAGTTCATAATTCCTGCTATTTCCTCTGTTAGTGTACTATTAGCAATGAAGTATCCTCAAAATATGCCCTTTATGATGAAGCCATCTTATCAATATATACTGCATCCAGGGTGCGTCAGTAAGATCCTAGCACTCCTTTTCACGGAAGTAAAATATGTCATTGTTTATTGGAAGTATAGGAGAAAATGAATGTAACAAAACACGGAGACATCTCCATCAGGTATCTTCCTTTGAGTTAAAACATCCCCTGTATTTTCCATACTTCTGGATTTCCCTCAATTTTAATGTTGAAAATCATCTAAATCTGAAATATTCATGTGAGCTAGGAGCTTTTTCAGTCCACACTGAAAATCTCACCTGTGACTACTGTATTAAACAATATTCTAGAAGTACAATTATAGAAGAGAACTTTCACTGATTCCATATATTTCAAGCTCCTTGCATGAATAATTTCTTTTAAGTGCTTTTGTTCTGTGTTTTTCTCACTTCCTGTATCCCAGATTTGAGTCTAGCAGGTTCAGTGCTACAGCATTAACAATTAGACATAAATGATACCAAGTGCAAGTTTATGATTGTAAAAAAGATTTATTGAAAGATCTGTGTTAGGAATTTCAACAAGTATGCTACTGACAATGTAACATAACTCTACAATTTATATGTAACCTATGGGTGTCTCAGTGCTGAATGCCAAGTAAGCTCTGAAGACTTGATTAATGGATTGAATTTCCAGTTCCTCTGAGGTTGGACTGGGCCCAGCAAAAGAACATGGTAGTTTAATGAGTGGAACTTGCAAATAGTAAAATGACTAAACTGAATATGTAACATTGCGATATGATTAGACAGCCCTCTTTCTTGAACTTGAATTGAACTACTGAGCAGCTTTCCGATTCTCTATGCCACCCTTCTTTGTCTGATTGATCTAATTGGGACAGTATGGCCTTTCCAATATTCTGAAAGGTGAAGTACAATCTCAGTTGGATCTGAAAAACAACATCATAGTTTCAAAAACATGCAATGCATAAATAGTAAAATCCTTACATTAATTTATCAAAACCATAGACAACTTGCTAGTAATTTTAATGTAAAATATTATACTTATAACATTACTTAAAAATATTGTAAATATTATTAAGACTATCCTACAACTTTTTAAACTGTTGAAAAGATAACCCATGCTTCTAGCATGTTACTCCACTACAGACATATTGCTTTCTCTAACAGTACTTGCACTAAGGTTTTCCACTATGTTTTATTTATTCGTCATTTCTTGGTTGTGATTAAATTTGACCTGGCTTATCACATTTTTTTTTTCCCCCAGTGGTATTTTCCCTGATGCTTCTTCTCCTTTCACTAATTGCTTCAAAGTCCCACAGATGTTTCTGAAAGTACTTTTCTTATCACTGCTAATGTTGTTCCTCTTGGTTTGTTTTTGAAATCTTTTCCTGTCCTATTTGCCAGCTCCCCAGATAGCTCCATGTCTTATTCTTAATTTGCTCTTTTTTCCCCCTTTTTTAGAAATCCACTCTCTTTCATTGCTTCTCTCACCACAGTTCTGGCATGTTTGCATTCATGTAGCTCCCAGCCAAGTCTCTTGCCAAGTCTCCTGACAGTTCTCCCAGATCTCTTGATACCCTTATGGTCCATCAAGCATTTTTCAAATGTGTTAGGCTGTTGACTTTTTAGTTTATTTATTTATTTTTATTTTCAACTTTCCTGACCATGTCTGACAGCTCCGCTAACTTGTCTGGTGTGTTTTCTCTGCTGAGGTAAACGATAAGCAGTTTCAGTGTTGGTGGTGAGGAGAGAGACACTGGGGAATAGCTTTCAAGAACAGCAGGCTAAACAGCCCCTCTCAGGGAACAGGAATCTGAAAGTTCTCAGAGGCCCAAAGGCCCTCCGACTTTCTAATTGTAGTGATTCTCCTGCTGGAATATCTCCTGAAGGTAACTGAGAGAGGAAGGGTGCAAGTGACCCCAAGTTTCTCTTCCCAGTCTCAGAGAAGAGGCTGTGCAAGGGGATGCAGGGCTGGCACCTCTTTCACCAGATGTAGGATGAGATGAATGGCCTTTTTCAGCAAGCTAGAATGACAAAGTGAGATTCATTGTGGCAAATCTTAAGAAGGGAGAGGAGAACCTTCCCTTTTTGCTCAGAGAATGTCGTATGACTGAAGAATCCCTTCACTGTTTTCTGCACAGCATTTGCTCTGGAAATAGAAAGTAAGGGCCCGCATGCCAAAATTGTTTAAGTATGTTTAATGGGGGTATACAGTGCTGATGCATGTGTGTCAGCAGAGCAGTTTAAGATGCTTCTTCTGCAGCGTGTGTAAGACATCTGATCAAACATTTTGAAGACGTACTGAATTAATATAACCTAGATCACCATATCTGTATGATTTGCAGTGATTTTTTTATACGTAATCTGAGTTGTAAGTAAACTGTAAGTGAAGCATGCCTTCTGCACTCTTCTAATCATTATTTTGGACACTATGAAAACAATAGTATTGTAGCTGACACAGCATCCCTAGCAGAGCAGAGTATCTCTATAAAGAACGGAGAACTTCTCACACTTCTTCCCGTGGCACCTTCCAATCTCCAGCAAACACTGGAATGTAAGTGAGAGGTTAGTTAACAGGCAAAAGCCAGAACCATCATAGAAAAAATTAGAGAAGACAGCTAAAGAGAGCTAATCAAGCTCTTCAGCTTCACTGACCTCTGCATAGTAGCTAGAGGTAGAAGAACCAGATTTCAAATTTTTGGAAAAGTCCATATTTCAGTTTTGATTTTCATCCAACAAAGGAATGAAAACAACAACAATTAACAAAAAGATTGTTAGCCACAAAAGGCATTTCTTAAAGAGAAAAAAAAAAAAAAGGAAAATTTTTGTGGTCATTTTAAATATTTTTCTTGTTAAAATCAAAACATTTGGTCCTGACATTCTCTATTTCTAAACATTTTGAAACTTTTTATGTAGAAAAACCTCAGCAGAACAGGTTTCCATTCCGAAACCTTCTTATGAAACAAAGAATTTTGGTGCTCCGTTCTGGAACTAATGACACATGATGTTCCGACATCAAAGAAAGACTGGTTTGAAAAAAAGAAAGTTTTTGGACCAGCCCATTTTTTTTTTCATTTGACAAGTTTCATGGAAAATCTCCTGCAGTTTTGGTGCATTCTCTTCCTAGCCCATTGAGTTACATTTTAATCTGGAATCTGCTCAACATAAACCTTCCTCTCATAACTTATAAGCAAATACAAAGTAGCATAGCAGCACTAGAAGGGAATTACTGGAGAGACACTGCAGATTAAGAGAGCATAACAGTGCAGGTAGATGCCCCTGGATGTCCGCCAAAGATCTTTACTAAGCTCAGAAGTAGATTATTTACTACTTCTATGAAAGAAAAATAATGAACTTAAAATGAACCTAGGATCTATGTACAGAAATATTTCTTTGTGCTATAAAATATATCTGTGACACAATTTTGAATATTTATACCATTAAATATGAGTGCTGTTTCTGTGGCTGCTGTTGTCAGCGGCAAGTTGAACATGAGCCAACAGAGTGCCCTGGCAGTCAGGAGGGCCAACCGTGTCCTGGGGTGCATCAAGCACTGTATTGCCAGCTGGTCAAGGGAGGTGATTGTCCCGCTCTACTCTGCACTCATGCAGCCTCATCTTGAGTACTGTCTGCAGTTTTGGGCACCACAGTACAAAAAGGATACAAAGCTACTAGAGAGTGTCCAGAGGAGAGCCACAAAGATGATGAAGGGTTTAGAGGGGAAGCCGTGCAAGGAGCAGCTGAAGTCACTGGGTCTGTTCAGCCTGCAGAAGAGGAGACTGAGGGGAGACCTCATCGCAGTCTACAGCTTCCTCACAAGGGAAGGAGGAGGGGCAGGGTTTAGGTTGGACATTAGGAAAAGGTTCCCCGAGGGTGGTGTGGTGCAGCACTAGACTCCCCTAGGAGAGGGTGTTGTTGTGAAGCTTGACAACATTTGAGAAGCATTTGGACAATGCCCTCAGGCATATGGTGTGAATTTTGGGGTTGTCCTATGCAGGGAGAGGAGTTGGACTCAATGATCCTTGTGAGTCCCTTCCAACTCAGGACATTCTATGATTCTGTGATTGTTAGCAGCAGTACTATCACTGCACAATGCTCCCATTTAATGACAGATCAGGAAGTTTTTAGTGCATTAACATACTGTTTACAGCAGAAGAAATGAATTCATTCATACACTGGCCTGTCATCAGACTAGAATCAAGCAGTGTAAATTAGATAAGCATTCCTACCTTTAAATTCAGTCTCATGACACTACAACCTGTTAAATATTTTCCGTTTTCTTAAGGACTAAGGAACAGATTTTCCCTGAGACCCAACGTACCTTATGGATAGCACACCGCTGATGAAGTCGCTCCTTCCCTTGTGTGACTTTACTATGGCTCAAGAAGCGTCTTGGAAGAAAAAGACAGGAGAAGGAGGCAGGAAGCAGAGGCATAATGATAAATTTGCCTTTTTTCTATACCATCAGTGTTCACCAAATCCAGAGAAGGCTTTGGCTGTCTGAATGATCATATGCATTTCTGCTTATCACTAATCTGAGCTGGACCTACTCAGAAAAGTGGCAAAATGAGCCAGATGCCAGGATCTAGTTTTGTCTTTCCTTTGCAACAGTTTTGGTGGTTTTTTTAATCACTGAAAACATTTTCAAAAAATCTCCCCTACTTCACCATCTATGAAAATTATCTCATCTGTTGCTGACTGATGCTTTCTTATCCCTATTTTGAATACCACAGCATTTTTTGGTAATAATTTAGTGTTTGCAACCTTTCCAGAGATTTTGTCGAAAATATTTTTTCTTCTTTTCCTGTTACTGTAATCTGAAGGGTTATGGTAGATTTTCTGTAGCCAAAAATGTATGATATTCAGTAATGGGTTTTTAAAAAAATGAGGTGACATCTACATGCTTTCACGAAAGCTGACACTGAAAAATGTTATTCTTGGAAACCTGCCTGTCCGTGTTTCCTCTCTGGCTGGCATTCACAAATGTGTTTCTGTCTGTCTCTCTCCCTCTCCTATTCTTTTTGTTTTCTCACTAATAGGAAGGGGACAAGCAATTAATCAGAGAAACAGCCACGCACCAGCTCAACCCAGAGCGCTATGTTCACACTTTTAAAGATTTGTCTAATTTCTCAGGATCTATAAACATTTCCTATCGCTACCTAGCTGGCACGCCTTTGCCAAGGAAAAGTAAGTAACTGCAATCTGAATGTTATGAAATGCGGTAATTTAAAAATGGGTGAAATCCATATAGTCTCTGTGGTATTTCTAGGCAAGAGGGTATGAGTTAAGCAGTGACGATCTCAGAGAGTTCATGGAACAGCTATCTCTCCCTGCATAAGCAGTGCCTGGGCAGCTGCCAGTTCAGCCCTAGCAGTGACTAGTGACCACAGCCTGGTTACCTTCTGACCAAATGCCTGATTTATAGTTGTCCTGCAGGCAGCCCCTGGATGGTCTGTGTGAGCATATTTTTGTGGATCTCCCCCCAGGCCAGAGGGAGATGATTCAGGAAGCAGGAGCAAGATATGTGCTGGTGGTGCTCTGTAACCACCCTCTGAGAGCATACTGTCAGCCTCTGTCTGTATAACGAATAACTCCAATTTAAGGTATGCTTCGGATCACATAGATACACTCTTCAGGTCCCCTGTTCTGCCAGTACAGCAGCTGTGAATAGATCTCCTTGTTCCTTTAGCTGTGATAAGGAGGGAGGAGAATTGTGCTATTATGGGGATAGTAAAGGAGGATTCTTCTCGCAGCGATCTGCAGATGGACTATCTGGTTATTCTGACTTCAGGCACGGTTCAAGACTTTCATCTCAAAGTGAAATATGGCCATACCTAGCTTTTAGACAGGTGTCCTTTGGGTTCCAAATCAATCATTGCACAAACATAAACAAGGCTCAGAAGTCCAAGCACAGATGGTAAAATAAAATCATCTGTGAGTTGTTGATCTTCATAGAAAGCTATAAAGTAAAGTTTGTTCAAATTAGATTTGAGAAATCTGGGGCTGTGAATGGCTTCTGGAGGTTGTACTTCACTGTACAACTGCATTTTGAACAGACAAGCCTCAAGGGAAACTCTGAATCACTTTTTATCTTTTATAAACCATAATATTTTAATAAAGTTGGGGTAGGTTCAACTGAAGTATGCCCTGTCAATTACAAAGTCTCTACAATTTTTACATCAGAAGTTAGAAAAATAGAGATATATTAGCAAATATCTGAAAAAAAAAATATGTGTACTGCTGGTAAAATGCAATGGCAGTGACTCCAAAACAGCAGAGATGAAAATTCTTCCCTTATAATTAAGATGCATCTCCCCCTAGAAAGATATAACAGCATTAAAAATTATTTATACAAACACAGGTATGCAGTAGTAAGTTCTCTTCTCCTTTAGAATAATATCTAAAGATGTTCCCTGTAAAATGTTCAATGAGTCCTGAAAGAGGGTTAGAAGAAGAACTATTAGCAAGGAAAAATTGGACAAATTCAGTTAAAAATTAACGCAAAGAAAGAAATTATCCATGCAACATTCATAAAACTGTAAAGTTATGCATAAGTGTAACTAGTCTTGTAGAGTGCTTAAAATGATAAAAGTTTGGCAATTAATCTATAGCTCACGTTTTTGTGCTGCATTTTGTAGTTACTTGATTTAAAAATATTGTGTGAATCTTATAATCCCCTTTCTTTTAGCAGATTTTACAGCCTTATCATTGTCTATGTGGTTTCCTCTACCAGGCATATATGTGCACATTGCTTTGGCTTTTGTCCACTACATGCCATTCCTTGCAGTTAACAAGTGAATGTTTAATGCAATAGCCTCCATATGTCTATTTGCTTGCAATACGACTCTTCTTTCATGAAAAGGCAATAGACATCCTTTGTTGCATGCAGCTTAATAAGTTCACATACCAAATTTCTCAGGCTTCACCATTCAAAAGGTTTATTTAATATGAGCACAACTCTGGGGGATAGCTTTGTGGTGAAATCGTTTCCAACGTCAGATAATCAGGTTTTGTTTGAATTGTCTTTTGTACAGGGTATCTTACAATTGGGCTATCCTCTGTGAAAAGGAAAAAGGGAAACTACTTGCTTGAGACCATCAAGTCCATATTTGAGCAGTCAAGTTATGAGGAACTCAAAGAAATCGCAGTGGTAGTGCAGCTAGCAGATTTTGACTCAGCCTGGTGTGACGGGATGGTCCAGGATATTTCACAGAAATTTGCACATCACATAATTGCAGGCAGATTAATAGTTATTCACGTCCCTGAGGAGTATTATCCTGTACTGGATGGCCTCAAGAGAAATTACAATGACCCAGAGGACCGTGTGAAGTTTCGATCCAAACAAAATGTAGATTATGCTTTCCTTCTTAACTTTTGTGCTAATCTTTCTGATTATTATGTGATGCTAGAAGATGACGTTCGCTGCTCAAAGAACTTTTTGACTGCTGTTAAGAAAGTAATTACCTCACGAGAAGGATCCTACTGGGTGACTTTGGAATTCTCCAAACTGGGTTACATTGGAAAGCTTTACCATTCCCATGACCTCCCACGCCTGGCCCATTTTTTGTTGATGTTTTACCAAGAAATGCCTTGTGATTGGCTGCTCATCCACTTTCGTGGGCTGTTAGCTCAAAAGGAAGTGATACGTTTTAAGCCATCTCTGTTCCAGCACATGGGATACTACTCATCTTACAAAGGAGCTGAAAACAAGCTAAAGGATGATGATTTTGAAGAGGAATCATTTGATATCCCTGACAACCCACCTGCAAACTTGCACACCAACATGAATGTATTTGAAAACTATGAGGCAAGCAAGGCTTACAGCAGCATTGATGAGTACTTCTGGGGCAAAGCTCCTTCTACTGGAGACTTCTATGGGATTGTATTTGAAAAACCCATTAGAATCAGTAAAATTAAAGTTGTCACTGGAACTGAAGACCGGCAAAATGACATTTTGCATCACGGGGCCCTGGAAGTAGGAGAAAAGATTGTAGGGAGTAAAAAAGGGAGACAATGTACTACTTACTTGAGACTAGGGGAATTCAAAAATGGGAATTTTGAAATAACAGATGTAGAGCACAAAGTTCTGTTTGATATTAACTGCATGAGAATACTTGTTACCAAAAGTCAAAAAGAATGGCTGATCATTAGGAGCATTAGCGTCTGGACTTCACAAACACCAAATCAATAAAGCGAAGCCACCTGAGAAGGTAGAGTGCATACAATCAGCTGGGTCCCAGCTGGTGCCATTCCCCAGAAAAACTGACTTATTTCCAACTCTTTACTAGAGACACAGAAAATCTGGGGAAATCACAAAACAAGCAAAGCAATTTATTTTTTACTAGTTTGGCCAGGCAATATACAAACACTTATTTGTTGAAAATTTTGAATTTTATAGGAAATGCAAAGTTCTCAAACCACTCTTGAGATCTTGAACCCCTTTTTTATTATCATTTCTCTGTAAGAGAAATCTGCTGGACTAAACAGAACAAAACAGAACATCCTATAATTACCAAAATTTTTAAAGTTATGACCAGTAAGTTGTGAAAAGAAATTGGGTTGCACCTTCGCACATATAAATTTAAAATGTTATGGTAGTATGCATTTGTACAATAGTTGGTGATGTGTTTCTTTTAAAGGCAGTTGTGACAAGGAAATGTGTCCTGAAACTGGCAGTTTCATTCTGAGCACTGTAAGAAAATAGTGTTGCAACTTCTTTTCAAAAGGGAATGTATGTAAAATTATAAATCTGACATGACAACTATATAAAAAATAGATAATTGCATCTGTTATTCTGTCTCAACAAATATCCTTTGCTCTTTTTCCTGGGTCCTTTCACTGAAACGAGCACTACTTGGATTCTATATTACTTAGGGGACCAATTTACTCTCCTTATGCGAACAAAATGCCTCATAGTGAGCAAGCATTCTGCTTGAGTACAGATGTCGGTATCAAACCCAAGCACCTCAAGGGCAACACTGTTCTCTCAGACAGGCATCTTAACAGATATCAGCTTCAACATTTTCTGTTCCTTCACAATATACAGAACTCCCCATGAGAAATTTGCACATAGCGAATACTGCAGCATGCTTTCCAAGGACTGTTAAGCCTTCCATATCTATATGTCCAGTCCATGTATGATACAAATGTAAAGTGTACCAGCATAGTCAGTTGGAGGTGAATGTAATCACCAGTCTTTCCTGGATGATCTCTAGCCCACAGAGCAGATGCAAACTGAAGAATCTTGATTTAATTAAAAATTAATATGTTTTTATTTTTTCTTCAGTTCTCTAATCCTGATCATGTTAGTTTTTTAGACATCTTCGCACTGCCTCTGGTTATTCCCTGTAAGGTTATTTTGCCTGGCTTTAGCCAATCAGCAGAAAAGTTCCCGCAGTCTTCATGACTTCAGTGTCAGCTCTGGGCTTTTAGTGCATCACACAGGGAGGCTGTATAGCTATATGATTTATACCAGATGCATACATTTGGATTAGCAGAATCTACGGGGTTTTTTCCTCTAAGAAATTCTCCATACTCTCTTAGTAGACACACTAAGAAATCCATGAGTATCAAGTGTGACGCAGATGAACACTGTATTGTCGCTCTCATGAATACTGTTGTTATCATCTAATTGCATGTAGGGGTTTTAGTTAAACCTGGAAGGCAAGGATTAAATTTCAAGAATGCTTGCACTGACCAAGAGTGAACTAACTACTGTACTCAGTACATCCAAACCTAACACGGCTATTTCAGAAGGGTACCTTATTAAAAAAATCTACACAAAACAGCAGTGCGATTGCTTTTCCAGGTTCGTAAATCCTGGTAAATTCATTTCCAGGTTTGGCAAATCCCCCTGTACAGAGGTAAGGTACATTTTAAACTAAATCTTCTGATACATGCTTCTACATAATTCAGAAAAGCATCCTCTTCTCAAAGAAAGTCTTTGTTTCTTTCTTCCTTAATACACACCTGAATCTCTATTCTTCAGATACATATCTTCAGTGAAATTAATTAAAAGCAGTATACATGTTCAATCTGAAAAGGAAAATAACACCATTTTTTAAAATGAAAAATACGTGCTACTCTCAAATGGTTATAAATACTTACGAAGGACTTGCTTTTTAACAGTGATCTCTCATGATTTTAAAATAATTAGTTGATAATTAGTCATTAGTCAACACCAATTTTTTAATGAACTGTCATTCTTCTATTTTTCCTTTCCTTGATCATTAACTATTAGTGCCAAAGCAAACATAACTAGGTTAACCAGGAACATTACCTTTACTTTTATTCAGAAATACAGTATGTCCAAACAAATCTTCTAAATTAGAATGGAAAATATACTCAATTCCAAGGTTTAAAATGTTCTTCTAATCAAAACCATACACAATGTGAATGGCTAGTACAAATTAAATGCTCTCAACATAAGCCTGAAGTAATTTAAATGGTATATATTTGAATTAAGAGCTGAACAAAACTTCTTTTGTTTTTAAAACAACAGTAGTAATAAGTCTCATCTTCGATATCATAGCTTAGCAGTGAGAACTGTCATCTGGCTGTTACCAGTCTGAGAGGGTGAAACCCACAAATGCCGATGTGAATGCCCTCAAAGGAAGCTTTCCTTGGGTGTGGATAGTGGTATGTGCTGGGAATGAGAGGCATGCACTACTCTTCCTGTTGAATTTGAGTTGATTTGGAAAAAGTAATTAAAGATACATTTATTCCAGGAGAGGCAAGAATGAAGTTCTGTTAGCTAGTGTTTTGAGTGCTCACCTTAGTGCATGGGTCCCAGTTCCTCCTTCACAGAATACATATTTTATTGATCTCATTCACATGAAAATGGTTGCCAAATTTTTAAGAAACAAACAAAGAAAAGCCATAGAAATTATGATAACTGGTTTTCAGAAAAATTTCAGAAAGATGTATTTGAAGATATGTTTTTTTCTTCATATGCTAAGAAAAGTGAATGACTTCTGAAAGGGAAATACTTAATTAGAGGTGTATATGTTCACAAATACTTCCCAAAGTTTGGATTGTGTATATGTTCACAAATACTTCCCAAAGTTTGGATTTTCTTTTCTTCACTGATGAAGCAAAAGATAAGCAGTGGCACAAAGTTCCATTCATTGGTGTATACAGTTGGTTCTGTTGGTGTGTATTATTTCTTGTGTTCATTTGTGGACTGAACATCATTATTTTCATACTGAAATGCCAATACTGAAAATATTACACTGTGGTCTGCACACTGATGGATCTATTCTTCACTAACATACATGTATCATTGCTATTGCCACTGTTTGGGATTCCTTATTGTATAATGTCCCTGGGCCTTTTTTTCTTTTCTGAACTAAAAGCCAGTTTGCCTTCTATCTTTCTTCACATGGTATAATCCCCCTGACATAGGGAATTCTTGGGAAGTAAAATACTGCTCACTGTGAATTAAAAGAGGAACAGAACCTTTAGTTTAATGCAGAATAAACAAACCCAGAAGACTGTAATTTTCAGGCAAAACAGTTTTAGCATATTTACTATATGTACTATGATAAAGACAATTCACTAAGGTGCTATATGAATGTGTTATTTTTAGGTCAGTGTTCTAACATGATGCTCTGTTTCACTCTCTGCTCAGTATTCTCTTGTGTTAGATACTAATGTTTTGCTTTTACAAAGGGAAATCGGGAACTTGTTCATTATTGAATTATTAAAAGTTAAATAAACAGCAAACTATAACACCTTAGAAAATATTTCATCTTGGAAAACTATTAAAGGACAAAAAACCATGGTTAACCATCTTAAAAACTGCAGATGCAATCGGGTTTCATTGTGAAACATTTCAGATATTCTGATGGAAATGATAGTTCTTACTACTCTCATGCTAAATTTGCAGTTCTGTTAGGCTACATTTCCATAAGTGTTAAATTCTGAGTAGTAATGCAGATCATGTATCATGAGCTCAAGCAGTGTCATATCCTCAAATGGTACAATATAATGTTTTGCAAAACACAGGTGGAAAATACAGATGTATTATAATGAAAACAAATGAAGTGATTTTGATGTCATATTCTATATACAAAGACAAATGAATTGAAGTGTCTCCACCACTCCATCAGCTTTTCAGATAAAGTAAACCAAGGGGCTTAATCCTTGTTCTTCTCTCCTTAGTCCTTGGAGATGAAAACTACAAAATTTCTACTCCCTTTAATGGAAGCAGGTTTGAAACATATATCATAAGACTGAAAGTGTTGATTTTGTAAAATAATTATTTTTTAATATAAACAAATATTTGTCTTATCTCTTCCATTTGAGTTTTAGCCATCCTGGAAGGCTGAAATGAAAATAATGTCCAAACAGATGTGTTTTGGTATCTTCAATGGCATTTTCCAAGTTCTTGCCTCTTTTACTAGTTTTGTCACAGCAAATACATTCTGTGTCACCTCTGCATTCATGCCCTTTAGCAGCACGGTCAGGCATGTAGACTAAGGCTAGATTGCTGCTTCTGCTCTAAATGGAGAGAAAGAGGAGCATGTCCAGAGTCATCTCAGTGTACAGTGGTTGTCTAAGCTCTGTTCTCTCTACTGACTATGGTGGGAGGCTACGCAAGTGGTTTGGCCTGAACATTCATTTCCTAGATAATTAGAGATACAGGAGATCTGTTTCTTTTGCATGATTACACATAATGCATATAAATCTAGATAAAAGCATATGATACATATAAACCTTTATAGATAATTTCCTATCAGCAGCACCACCCTTCACAGCAGGGATGTTCAGTATCTTCCTTATAAATACTATCTTGCAATTTCAATGAAAATAATTTGTTCAGATTTAAAATAAGGAATATGAATTTCCACCTTGAATCTAAAACATTATTTATTACGTTAGTTTAATGATGAAATTAAGTACAGAGAAAGATTAATTACAGTAACATTTCTATAACAGTAGTTTTTTGTTAAATTGGCATGAAATTGAATTGGCATCTGGGCAGCTACAAGGCTATTTTTCAGCCACATTTCTATATGTTTTTCAACTGTCATACTACCTACTACAAGTCCTCAAATAAAATTCCATTTTGTCCTGACAGCTGTAAAAAGGGTCTTAAAATTCCACATAGAACTTGAAACTACGTTAAGTAGGGTAATTAAACCCTTTGCCAGCCATTTGCTGGGCTTATGTTAGAGTTTCACACTTAAT